AGGTATAATTAAAGGAAGTTTTGAGGACATGCGTGCACTACAGGCTAGGACTAGAGGATTCAGGACAGACTCACCTGTCTGAGTTGGAGACATTCTGCACTCTTTGACCGCCTACTACTCGTGAAATGCAAACGTCTCGGAAAGTGGTTTCTCCGCAAGCGAATGGTCAATGTATATCAGTCTACTACACAAGTTCGATTGCGGGAGATTGAAGAGTGAAAATAGCATGATAATGAGACGGAGAAACCCTTTCTGAAAACATTGAACAACTCGAAATAATACATATCAACCAAGGATATAATAGAGCGACTATAACCTGTATCATAGGTAATCCGATACCCACCAACACCGACCATTATTCAATGAAGCAAAATGCCAAAAGGCCACCAAGGCATCATGCGAAAATCAGTAAGACCACATGCACTTGTACGCCATCAACCTATGTCCCAAGCGATCATATTCCAGCTGCCCTATCCAGCTATCATTGGTTCCACTCAGTTTTCCAAAGACGCTTGCGCCTTTCCAGACAACGACCTGCGGGTCGAGATCCCGGGGAGGAGTGCCGATCATGATCTCCTTGGCAAATCCTGGTCGAAGGTTCTGGAGACGCTCTTCAAGATATGAGTGAAAGCCATTGATCAAGCTTCCGCCTCCCACGACCATAATACCACCAAGGAAATCTCGCATCTTACGTTCGTCGGAACGAGCCGCATGCGCAATAGAAGTTAAAATTGCACTGTCCAGCGGGAAGTTTGGTAGGATGTCATCGCGTTCCTCAACAGTGGGCGGACGGTTAGGCAATGCGCTCTGGCCCTGGCCAGCAGGCACAGGCGTAGCCCCGCCGGGAAGTGGTGTACCCAGCGTCTCCGGTGCCGGCGATCCGGCAACAGACGATCGGGGTGTGGCGTCCAGCTCCTGCACACGGCTGAGAGCATTGAATTGTTGGGATCGACTCGGTGTAGCCTGCACCTCCAATGTATTCGATTGGGCATCGCCATTTACCTGGCCATGGTTGATAGGAGGGGCAAGAGCAGTTAGAATCTCGGACTGAGCCGCCGATGTAGGGTCGTTGGGCTGTCCATCGTAAATATCAACTGAGCGAGCAATGAGTTTTCTCCTGCCCTTGAGCTTCTCCTCGTGGTTGAATATGAATGGCTGGAAGTAGCCCATGGGCGCCAGGTGAATCCCATCGTAGGCTTTGAATGTGTATTTCCGGGTGTCTTGGCCGGCGACTCGAAGGTGGAAATCGTAGACCTGCACGGATACACTTGCCTCGTTCATTGTACAAACATTCTTCTTCAGCTCTTCGGCCAACAAGAAGTCATATCTGTGCCAAAGGTTGATCTCGGCATAGGGGAAGTGGTCGTAAAGCATCATCTTGACAAATGTCTCGGTCACATCGAGACCACCGTACTTCAGGTTCACTCGCGAGTTTTCGATGCACATGCCTTCTTCCACGCAGCAGATTGATGTTTTCTGAGCACCAATGTCAACCACACAGGCAGATGTGAACCCTGCACCAAACGTGGCCGCCAAGCTCTCTTGAATGAAGCAGCTGCGAGCAAAGGCGAATTCTCGCATGAGTATTTCCAGAACTTGGGTGACGTATGACTTCTCGTATAAGTCTGGGATGACAAAGACACATGAGTACTGAAGCCAGTCCTTCTTGCTCGTGAGTCCTAGTTGCGATTTGATCGCGTCCTCGAGGATGAGCGAAATGTCCAAAAATAAGAGTCTCTTGTTGTCGTAGTCTGTCTCGTTGCACCAGCCATGCTTTATTGGCCAGTAGAGTTTATACCGGGGCTTGGATGCATCGGGTATCCTTAAAGCCGCTTGTCCCACAATGTACTCAGGTGCAGGATCTGAGAGCTCGGTCCATTCAACCCGCATAGGATCATTGTGCTCTGAAATGGTTTCCGGTACTGTCCTCCGATTGTAGTTGATGACCATTTCTTTTGAGTTTGGCAATGTCCGACGCTTGTTTTGTCGCATATGGGCTTTCAGTTCTGCCGACAATGTCGTGTACTGGGAAGCGAACTATTACCAGAGCGCGATAATCAGCAACGTAATCTGTCGTGAGAAGAAAGCTGGAGACAAACCTCAGGACCGAACATCTTTTCGGGTTCCAAGTCCGATCCATCGTCCATCTTCAGCCGCTTTGGACATGGCTCTTCGTGATCTTCGGCTTCGTTGGATGGCGATTTTCGCGCAATCACCATGGGTATGGTCTTTGGCAAAGCGTCGCTAGCTAGTCCGATACGTAGGTTCTGGCTTCCGACGTGGACCACGATCACCTTGGAGCCCGCCGTCTCGGCAGTCGTCTCCTCGGCGTCTTCCATATTGGTATCACCGTCGCCTTCTGCCTCTGCTTCTGGTAGTCCTAGGTCATTCGCCTTGGCCATAGCCAGCGCACGGTCCCGGTCTTTAGCTGTCTTCGCCATTCGATTCCGCGCCTCCTCGTTCTGCAGTCGAAATGCAAGGTACTGATCATCGCGCTTGAGATAATCACTGTGTAGATGATAATAGGCAGTCAGGTAAAGAAAGGTAATCTGAACTGATAGCGGTGGAGGCGATAGCGTACGTATAGTAGTTTTTCTGGTTGATTGGTGGTATTTGCGGCCAGCTTGACAGCTCCATATTGTTGTCGGTTCTCTCGAGACCTGTTCTCAATCAATCAGACGATGGCAGTTGAGTCGGATAGCACTGGAGATCATACCCTCATCCCGAAGGAGAGCCTTGCCCGATTTCTTCCCAACCATATTGAAAGGCTGATTGTGCAATCGGCGATGCGATGTAGGTTAAAAGACGGGAAATTCGTCTTGAGATGGTGGGATTGAAATTATCGTGGTTATGAGAGACCCATTCGTCTGTTTTCAACTTCCCACTCTATTGGAGGGAAATCAAGTTGCGACAATTAAAGAGTTGGCAGGGAAGGCAGGGAAGGGAGGTTGTGAGGGGATTGAGCGATGAACGAACGACCGACCCAGCGATAAACTGGTAAGGGAATCCGGAGAACGAACGATACTAACCTACCTACACAGTAGTTACAGTACACACACTCTCCATTGAGTGAGCTCGGGCCAGCCCGATCGGCAGGAGACCGCAAGCCAATGACGGTCACCACCATTTAGTCAGCTCTTGGTCCTCGCTCATTGAGCTGTTGCGGTAGGTTTTGGCCATATCTGTTATTTCTTCAAAGACATATTCGTCCACTTCTTCCGAATTGGTCCTTGCACACCATACTTAGTTCTTGGTCGGTGCAGTTGTTTGGACCACTTGATCGTTGTGTTTGTGTCCGCCCGCATCTCCGCCACCGCTCCAACGCCCTGATCCCGCCGCAAAGACAATAGACAGACAGACAAGACAACCTCCGTCTCACGCCTTCCACTTTCCCTCCCCTCAGAGCCCACGATCAGCTTATTCAAATTTTGCCGCGATGGGAGGTTCGCTTTCACGTCTCTGGTCCTTCGTTTGGGCAAAGAAAGAAATCCGCATCTTGATCCTTGGACTCGTATGTTCTTTCGACGTCACGCTACCGTTTGTAGCTATCACCCCCTCCCGCGGCTAATGGTTTCGCTTACTTAGGACAATGCTGGAAAAACAACTCTTCTTTACCGACTGAAGGTGCGCCCTGGAATGATCATGAGATACATGTCGCGGAATCTTACGGGAGTCTTCTAGATTGGTGAAGTGGTCACGACGATACCCACGATCGGATTTAACGTCGAATCGGTGACGTACGGAAACCTGAACTTCAATGTTTGGGTGAGTACAACAACTTTTGGCGACTGCGATTTTCCTTGGTCCCAAAAGACTATTGCGATGAGGGTTCCTCTCGGCTGACTTCCTTGCCTCTTACAGGACCTCGGAGGTCAAACATCCATCCGTCCATACTGGCGATGCTACTATGCCAACACCGCTGCGGTCATATTCGTCATCGACTCAACAGATATTGAACGACTCGGCACGGCTGCGGATGAGCTGGCGGCGATGCTCAACGAGGAGGAGCTTCGTGATGCGGCCCTTTTGGTGTTTGCCAACAAGCAGGACCAGCCGGGCGCCAAGGGGGCCGGCGAGATCTCTGAGGCTCTGAAGTTGGGCGAACTGCGGGACAGAAATTGGAGCATTGTCGCATGCTCTGCTATTGATGGCAAAGGTCTGAATGAGGGCATGGACTGGCTGGTTGTAAGTGACGTTGCTGGTATTTATCTTTGTTCGGACTTACTAACCATCCTCGCCTCCTAGCAAACACTCCAGTCGGAGAACGCATAAACCTGATGCTGCGATATCAGTCATGCCATAGATTTGCTTTTGATACACCTTCGAAACTCGGATGGAAAACCACAAAGAAACGTGGACGCGCCAGCTTTGTTTAGGAGCTTCTTTCGTCGCCTGTGCGCCTTTTTCAACATTGTTCTCTTTCGAGGCAGGGCTGTCGTTTATACATTATACCTTTTTGATTCCGAAATGTGTTATACCTTGCATAATACCTTAATTCATTCTACCATGATCCTCGTTGGCTTGGCTGTAAGGAAATAGTGCTACTGAGTGAGATGTTTGAGCTAGAGCAGTCGAACTTAGGACCAGCCAATGTTCGTCTGTCTACTTGCTGCACAGTTATATACTGACTCTATCGATATGTTTTGCGGTTCCATTGTTAGTATAAAGTGGCTCTTCGTCGAAGTTGCATATCCAAGTCTTTGAGAAAACAAGCCAGATCACTATCCCCTTCTATACCTCTTCAAGGCTTAGGCCCAGTGCCCTTGAACTTGTAGGCACAGCCCAACTTCTTAGAGCAGTCCATATTATTTTTCATACGGATCCCTCCTCGGCACACCTCCACACAGTGGGAATCTACCAAGATATCTTCTTATCTTAGCTCCTATCGGTGACGCTGATTATCACAGCGATACATAGATAACCAACCTACAATACAATCTTAATCAGATTAGCCGACCAAGTCTGAGAATCAAGACTGGAAAATCTGTGAATAGCGCATAGGGCCTCTGCTATATACCACATATTCCATTGTCCGATAAGCTCCTCTCTTCCCCGCACTAACCATCGAAACCCCGAATCTATATATTCGAGATACCCCGCAATGACCCATCTATAATTTATTCACAAATTGACATCTCCCTTGCAGCCTACCACTAGCTCCTCATACTTTTGAGAAGAGATATCATACAAGGTAAACCGCCACGGATCCGATACGATGAGCATCCCATCAAGCCAAACCGCAGCCCTCATCCCCGCAACCGGGGCATCCCCTACCGCGCGCCTTCAAATCCGACACGATCACCCCGTGCCATCACCGACGGAGGGACAGATTCTTGTTAAGCTGGAATACTCCGGGGTATGTCACTCGGATGTACACAGTGTGCGCGGGGAGACGCCCATGTTAACCGACGTGGCGGGCCATGAAGGCGTGGGGAAGGTGGTCAAAGGTAGGTATTTGACTTCCTTTCCAATGGCATCAGTGCTTCTGGTCAATCTAGTCAGCCCGCTGACTGGCATCTGGCATAGTGGGCAGTGGGCTTGACGAGCAAGTCTGGCTAGGAAAGAGAGTAGGGATACGGTTCGCACATTGGCCCTTCCTTCAGTATGTCTACAATTTGGACGAGATCTAACGACGATTGAACGGTGTCTACAGCTGGCTGTACAGCACCTGCTTGGAGTGCGAGATATGCGCCATCAACAACACGGCGTGTCCATACCAAAAGAACGCTGGAGCGGTAGGTTGAGTTATCCACTATTGTGTCTGGTTGGAGACGATGTGTCTAAAGCTGATGCCACGACCAAGAATATCCCGGGGACTTTTCAACGTGAGTAACCGACGAACTCCAATCTAATCCACACGTGTGCGGTGAAGCTGACCGGAGCGATGTGCGAGGTCAGAATACATTGTCAGCCCTGCAAATCATGTCACCATCATCCCTCCGAGCCTGGAGCCAGACGTCGCTGCTCCCCTGTTGTGCGGTATGTCTGTCTCTCTTGCCTCTGTCCTTCTGTGGTATGTGTCATCGACAATTCTCTCATGGCCTGTTAGCTGGAATTGCCATGTACTCTTCGATAATGAAGACGAAGACTCGACCGGGAGACTGGATCGTGATCCCCGGCGCAGGCGGCGGATTGGGCCACATGTAAGCTCTATCACCGTGCTACACCCGGAGCACAGGTACCGTTGGCTGAACCGTTGCCACAATAGGGGTATTCAGATCGCCGTCAAAAAGGGGCTCAAAGTTATCGCGATCGATAGGTAAAATGCCTCTGCCCCATGCCATGCACAAGCCCTTCGTTGCCCAAAGAACATGACTGCCCTAACGAAGCCCGCTGACACGAAACCCCCCCTTCATCTAGCGGTGAAAATAAGAGACAGCTCTGCCTCTCCCTCGGAGCCACCAGTTTCCTCGACTACAAGACCGACGACATCGAGCACCGCGTCAAAGCCTTGACGTCAGGCCTAGGTGCGCACGCCGTGATCTGCACCGCCAACAGCGAGCAGGCCTACATTCAAAGTATGAGCCTGCTTCGGAGGCTGGGGGTATTGGTGTGTGTGGGTATCCCGAACGCACCGTTTCGACTCCCAGCGACCCCATTTGACATGATTGTTAAAGGTAAGGGAGGGAGGTGTTTCCGGGAGTTCCTGTGGAGAGAAAAAAGCCTACGCAGCGGCTGATCTTTGAAATTGCGGCTAGGGCTCACGATTGTCGGCAACTCGGCTGGCACTGCGAAGGAAATGGATGAGTTGATGGAGCTGGCTGTAGCGGAAGATGTGAAGGCGCATATTGAGACATATGAATTGGATGACATTGATGACGTCCTGGATCGGTTGGGACGCTCGGAGATCGATGGAAGAGCTGTTGTGCGGATTCCTTGAGAGAATGTCGGGCGCGCTTCCGGTAAGAATCGAGGTCTTTCATGAGACCTCTAGTCTGTTATACTTATTAGGGAATTTGGGCATGGGAACGGCTGCTTAGGGCAATTGTCTTGGCCGCTTGGTGGTGGTGATGGTGGTGGTCTTGTTGTCGCCTGGGTGGCTGAGCAGGAATGAACTGACTTGGTTCGAAGGTAAATAGCTTCGAGCCATGTTGACATATTACTCATGAACGTCGGCATGATTCTCCTAAGCTATATTATTGCGAGATGCGCGTGGTCTTCAAGGTTTCTAGTAGCGCAATCCTTGAAACTGAGGTACAAAGATAGCAAGTGCCATGTTAGCTCGGGCTCTTGGAGTGGCTTATGTTGATCCATATGAGAGGCTTGCTGAACGGTGTAGAAACCTCGAATGAAACACCTTAGCTGAGGGCAAAATGGGTTTAATCAGATATATTGTAGCTAGTAGGGATTTGGACCGTCAACGCATGAGAGATATTATCACAGTGGCTCTTATTGCCTCACAGGAAACCGTCACCGAACCGATAAAACGAGAAGACACTGACCGCACCATACTCGACCTAAATGTGGCTTCATAGTCTCGAGCGCCGCCCTTTTGCAACTTTACGTGCATACGGGTGGGAGGCAGAATTGGGGACGAGATGGTCGATGTCTGCTGTATTGACGAGATGTGGGCCTGCTTCATCCAGGCTAGTAATTCCAACGTTGCGCATTGCTGTCTCGAGCTCATCCTTCATGACTGCAGATAATGAGATTAGCATCCGGGCCACATATTCAGTAAAGCAGCAACCGAGACTTACTATCAATCAAATGCTCAACGCCGTCCTGGCCATAATTAGCGGCGAAGAGCATGCTCCGCCCCATGCCCACGGCGGTTGCTCCCAGACAGATCGCCTTGAGAATATCCGTTCCGCGACGAATGCCACTGTCAACGTAGATTTCCATCTTGTCGAAGATCTCCGGACACCGCTTGTGGAGTTCGAGTAGAGTGATGATGGACGGTGGGCTGGTGTCCAAGTTCCGGCCTCCGTGATTGCTCAGAAGAATCCCATCAAGGCCGGCCTCCATGGCCAGAATAGCATCATCGGCAGACATGACGCCTTTCAGACACACGGGCAGGTGAGTGTGCTGCCGCACCCATGCCAAGTCCTCCCACGTCAGACCTGGATCAATGAAACCGGCCATGACACGACCGAGACCGCCGCCCTTCTTGTCATTCTTCGCTTTCGAAGGTGCCATGGGAACGGTTAGATCCTCGTCCGCCTTGACACGCTCATCCGCCTCCCTTTTACCGGGCCAGGCAGCGTCGACGGTCACAAAGATGCCCTTGACGTTCGGATTGGCGGAGCATTGATGGAGAAGCGAAGCTGACTTCTCCCGGTCGCGGTTAACGTATAGTTGGAAGAAAAGGGGCGTTGATGGCGCAGCCTCTTGAATCTCCTCGAGAGTATACGATGAGTTGTTAGACACCTACAGCCAATCTCGTTAGAAGCCAGCCACGAAATGGTAAGGATTGGAGTGACTTACTCCCTGAAAGACCTTTTTGCTCTCGCAGGCCCTCGCAATGGCAAGCTCTCCGTCTGGGTGAATGAGCTTGGCCATGGCCGCCGGACTAACAAATAGTGGGAGGCTCGTCTCAAGTCCAAGGAACTTGGTTCTCGTGTTGACAGACCGCACATTCCTCAGTACTCGTGGCCGAAGCCAGATGCGGTCAAAGCACGATTTGTTGGCGTTTCGCGTTATCAGGTCAGTCGAGGCGCTGGAATAGAACGCCCAGGTCTTTTTGCTGGCCGTTGAAGATGCCACCACTTCGAAATCATGGGAGTTGATCAAGGTGTGCAACGGTGGCTTTTCATTTTGGAGAACCATCTGCGGGCTTGCAGTAGGTGGTGGCTTCAGCCATTCATCGTTAATCGTGGCCTCATCTAGAACACCCATATGCCTCTCTGCTGACAGCTTCGTCTTGATTAAATTCGAGGCATGCACCTCTGAGTATGCTTTGGTAGCATCATGACCCGCGTGCTTCAGGATAACTGTAGAGTTGGAACGGTCATTTACGGGATGTTCTCAGAGCATTCCAGCAATTCTGGACATCACTTACCTGTTGGGCCTCCTGGATGCTCTTCTAAGAAATCTGTCATGTCCCATACTTGATTATCCACAACAATCCAGCAGTCATCGGGTGAACTGTGCTGAGAGATCTGCTCTGTAGACAAGAGCTTCTTGACCGCCATTTTCTTCTCACTGTCAAGCAAGGCCAGACAGAAACACGCAAGATGAGATTTTGGATATCCGGGCGCCAATTACCAGGGAGAAGTGCTTGGTGGTTGTATCTGCCACTGTGTTGCGTTCCAATATGATTGCAACTCAAGTTTTGCAATTTAAGTTCCTCAAGGGCAACCGAAGACAAACATCCAGGGAAGGGACTCCATCAGTAGTAATATATCCCCAGATCGACCAGTCTGCATGGCTCGGGGTAACATCAATGCGGAGTAACCTTAGCCGCATGGGAAACCGCATAGCAAAAGCCGAGAAGGAATGATCAGCCACGTTTTGTCAATCTGTTCCTACCGTCTGCACTATCAGCTAAGTTCAGCGTCAAGCTAGAACGATCATGACTTATCGTGCCTCTTAAGCATTGAGGGGGTAACTCTCATGAGGAGCGACAATGTCTGCACTGTGTCGCAATGTACGTTGTTCATCTGTTGTACAGTTGTACATATAGATTCAGGGCCGACGAACAACCACGGAGTACACGGAGCATCGCCGAGGGAGAGTTGCTCCGGCATGCGGAGATCTTTCCGCTCTTTGGTAGAGCCCTCAGGCCAAAAACTACGTCAGCATTCAGGACGTTTCTCATGATTTGACGATTCTAGGGACCAAGGATGATGGGTAATTGAGTGGTGGTTAGCAAGAATAAATTTTCTCTCCAAGGGCTGTCATTTGGTCCAATTATACTGGATTGAGGTGTAGGTCGACAGATGGCTTCGAGTTCCCAGCTATGACGAGACTTGACCCTTTGCCCTGGACAAGGGTTGAACCATGGCATCCCCCTGGCTACTTTGATAATTACGTATCATATGATAGCATACTGTGACTCATATTTTGCTGCCATACTCGTAGTATTGAAATGTTGAGGTCAAGGCAGGGACAAAGCATGATATGCCACGTGACTGGTTAGACGATTTTCTCTTGCCTGAGGCATCGACGCTTAACCCGGTTCCTCGTCTACCTAGAGAGGCTTACCGGCCAAAATAATTCAGGCACACAAGTCCCTGATACCTCAATTTGAACCGCCGAGTCGCTGCTGACCATACCAGAGCATCTGTGGCTGTAACAAAGAGCAGGGTGCTGAATCCTCTGATGCATGCTCTTGGTGTAGACAATCTGTTCAGATTATCTGGAATCAGTAAAAATCTGTGGAGCCTCGGGGCAATAGGAGCTAGCACCGCGACCGCTATAGATTGTTGGCGACCACGTCTCTACCAGCCGCACCGAAATATTTATAGCAAATCAGGTATGTCCCAGTCCTGACTCGGGATGATGGCCTTGCTGCACACATGTGGTCTAGGTCTGACTCATTCCCGATCTGTCCCAGGACCTTAAGACGGAGCCGTGAGACTTACTCCAATGCAGCAGCTTCTGGTGGATCACTCACAAATCTGCATACCATTTCTAGCTCTTGTGCATTGAAGAGAAGAAAATTCGAATTCAACAGGTCCTCGACTTCAGCAAACATGGGCGACTCAAGCAAACCTATCCGATATGTTGATGTTGGTAAACTCATTGCGAATATGCAAGAATATCCTTGTATATAGTTCACTCGCTGATGGCCACGCTAGATCGGAATCAATCTCAGTGACCCTGTCTTCATGGGTAATTACCATGGAAAGCAAGTTCATGACAACGACATGGATGACATTGTCCAGCGAGCTCAGGATGTGGGTTGCGAGAAATTTATGGTGACAGGCTCCGACTTGGAGGAGTCGCGGCGGGCTATTGAGATTGCACAGAAGTATCGTATGTCCTTCCCAATATACTTTCATCTGTATGCAACCTGACGTCCTCTGCAGCGGGGTTCTGCTATGCTACGGTTGGAATTCACCCGTGTCAGGCGAAGCTCTTTGATAAACATCCTGGCGGACCTGCAAAAATGCTAGATGAGCTTAGAACGCTAGTGTTCGAGGCCAAAGCATCAGGCCAAGCTGTTGCGTTTGGGGAGTTTGGTCTAGATTACGATCGGCTTTCCTTGAGCGCAAAGGAGCCCCAGCTGAAATATTTCGAAGCTCAATTGGATCTGGCGGTGGAGGTGCAACTCCCTCTCTTTCTCCATTCCAGAGCTGCCAGCGAAGATTTCGAACGTCTTCTGGCGCCCCGCCTTGAGAAGCTTCCGAAGAAAGGCCTCGTGCACAGTTTTACTGGAACACTTGACGAGATGAATCGAATGGTTGCCCTAGGTCTCGATGTCGGTGTTAACGGCTGCAGTCTGAAAACGGAGGAGAACCTGGAAGTAGTCAAGGCCCTGCCACTTGAACGGCTTCAGATTGAGACTGATGGTCCTTGGGTATGTGTTTTACCTAGGATTTCTCAAACCTTTGATTGACATTAACTGTTCAGTGTGAAATCCGTCCCTCTCATGCATCTGCGAAGTATCTCGAAGGAGCCCCTCCGCTTCCCAAGGCTGTGAAAAAGGAGAAATGGCAAAAGGGACTTATGGTGAAGGGTCGCAATGAGCCTGCAGCAATCGCCCACGTTGCGCATGTCATCGCCAAAGTAAAAGGCATCACTGTCGAGGAAGTTTGTGAAGCGTAAGTCCATTCTCTTTCTATTACCCTCTTCTCGGTTTCCGATGTGACATGGAATATTGATTCAATGAGCAGTGCATGGAACAACTCAATCCGGATGTTTGGGCTTGGTGTCGATACACCATAAATTCTGTTCATGATATCTTTCCCGGTCGTTGCCCAATCCGGGGGAGAACACCGTCCCGCAAATTATGAATACTAGATCCTTAGATATAGAAGAGACGAGGCAGTTTGCACGAGAATATTATCAATGAAAGCTACTTGACCTGTGTCGATAAGAGTACCGTTCCTAATTCTTTGTTGCCTCATCCTGGAACCTTGGATCGGTGGTGTTCGGACCACTACCACTGCGAACCACGGTCCTTGCCTGATGATTCAACACCAGTCAGAGCTGTCTGACGAAATACTAGATCAGCCCAGCGGGTCTTTAATTAGCTAGCTAACTATTGTCGAACCTCTCTTGAGGTGTGGCATGATAGATCTGAGGCAGCATGTCATTCTTCCATACAGTATGTGCCCGGAGGAACAGGCAACTTGGAAGTGAGGCTAACATACCTTTCTTAATTCCTTGCCCCTCAAACCTCAACTAGTCATTCTACATTCACTGCACAGCACTTGGTGGCTCGCCACATGTGCTTTGCCTTCTAGAAAGTTGCTTGGTATGATTTACGTCGGCTTATTTTCTGATGACATTTTGGTTTTTCCTGGCTCACCGCCCTGTACTGTACCTGTAGTCGCACCACCACCACCACCCTTGCTCTTGTCTCTTTCCTTGTTTACCTTTCTACGTGATTGTAGTCTTCTTCTCTCCAACTCTCTCAAGAACAACAACCTCGACTCTCCAGACCTCACCTTCTGACCCGTCTAAACCCGGTCCCTCATATTGGTCACCATGTCTTCTTTTTCTAAAATCATGTTGGCTTGAAGCTTGTGGGTTAGACCCTTTCGAGTCTATCACCAACCTCTCTCTTAGCAGATCTCGCGCTGTCGCTGTTTAGTCAGATCTTGCATGAGAATCCTTCTTTCGTGGTGCATTGGATCCGTCTATCTCTCTCTCTCCCCAAAATTCAGCTTTTCATTGGCATTCTATCGGTTCATAGTGCCCCCTGAGCTCTCTTATCCATTCGTTTGTTAGGACTTCGAGCCAGACGGCGACAGGGAACTGGCAATCTAACACAATGACGTCTCCGTTAACGGCTCAAAGCTCCAACAGCTCTCTCCAGAGCGTTTGTGGTAGGTTGTTTGTCTTTTCTGTGGGAACATCGATCATGTTCACACTCCTATCCGTATTGTTCAAGTTGCACTAACCTCCACAGAATCAGTGCGCCGCAGGGCATCCTCGATGGGAAATGAGTTCATGCCGTCAGAGTTCCCTGAGAATTTTGGAGAGGTTGTTAAAGGTGTCTATCGATCTGCTTTCCCGCAACCGTGGAGCTTCTCTGCGCTCAAAAAGCTTGGCCTTCGGACTATAGTGTATGTGGGCCATTCGTGTGTCTGATCCCTGCTCACCACCCCTCAGCACTTTTGTAGACGAGCCTTATACGCCAGAGCACATGAGCTTCTTCAAGGAAATGGGGATCGCGCACATCCGTATCCTTGTCGAACCCAACAAGGATCCTGCAGTCAAGTCTCCAGACTACGTTATCTGTCAGGTATTGGAAGTCTTGCTCAACAAGGCCAATCACCCTGTTCTTGTCCATTGCAACAAGGGAAAAGTAAGGCTTATCCAGGGTGTTATACGAGCTTGGCTAATCGAAATTGCTGCAGCATCGGACCGGCTGTGTGGTCGCCTGCTTCCGCAAGATTCAAGGTTGGCGCATTGAAGATGTGCTGGCTGAGTATCAGACATATTCGTTCCCCAAGTCAAGGCCGCTGGATCAGAAATTCATCATGGCGTTTGACGCCTCCCAGCTCTCTAGCCTGGTACAGATCTCTGGCGTGAAAATGTGGCAGTCTGCCAGTCTGCCGAAGGCATTATCTGAAGAGAATGCCAAGGATCAGGCCTCATCCTCGAGTCGGCTTCTACCCTCTCTGGGCAAAATATACGTGACTTGATAATCCTATGTCGATGAAACTCACGCCGTTCTTTTCTGTCATCTGTGGTGTGCCTGGTCATCGCAGTAGTCGGTGGTCTGACAACGCAAGGTTTTCAGCTAGGTCAATGTCGTTGCAATCTTGGCCATGAAACCGGCTGATGAATCACACCACCTAGCTCTTGTCGCCTCTCGTTCTGCATCAAAATCTACTCTTTTGATTAGAACACTGGCCATCAATGAAAGGCTTGTGTACCCAGAGCGAAAGCCACTCAAACTCCGCAGCGCTCCGCGATGTCTAGAGGCTCCATCAATTTGACTGCTTCTGGAAGGGTTGGATGCACGATATACCCAGTCATCATTTAGTTACCCATGTGATTTTGATATTGTGGATGGGTGCATGGCAGGGATGTGTCAGAAATTCTAGCCTGAGATCAAGAGAAGCGAATCGTAGAAAGACAATAGACCTGAGAAGAACAAATTGTAGGACATAGTACACTAATGTAGAGAATAATCCACATTGATTGACAGTTTTAAGCGAACATATCTAAGCTAGTCGTTCTGAGTAGCTTTCTAACAGTCATTTCAGTGTCTTTGATTGTTTTTTTGAGCTGCTGGCAAACATATGCCATACTATACCATTCTATGAGTGATTCTCAATGGCGTTCAAGTTCACTATTTGAGTTGTGATCATAGAATCTTATACATCATGTCATCATCTTCTTCGAAATCCTCAATGTCGGATATGAGTGCTGGAGAACCTGGACAAGGCAATTGGCTCGCAATGGCTAGCTCCATTGAACCTCTTTCTGTGGTATCCCACAGCCTCTCATTGACAGAACATGTACAGTTCTCATCAACTGATAAGAGAGAGTTTGTCTGGGATGTGCAATCAAGCTCGAAATAGTCCTCAGTGCCTAAGTAGTCCTCAGAAGCCATGTCGACTTTCTCGGTAGCAGCGTGGTTGAAACAGTTCGGGACCTCTTCCGTCGAACCAGTTATTAGAGGAGATTCATGAGCATATGCTTCGTCCAAGTCTGTAGGATTGATCTCGTCCAATCGGCTCAGCTTGTGTGAGGCTTCTGCCTTGTAGAGTTGTTTTTGAGCAAGAGTCCAGAATGCCGCCTGGAGAATGTTTCCCGCATCTACTGCCGTCAATGGAAGACTGTCCGGTACGTATGCGACCTTCATACTGCTGACAATTTGTCGCAAAGAATGATTCATGGGTCGCTTCAACATGGATGTCAGGGACTTGACGAGCGATGTGATAAGCAGCGAACGTTGGCTCATTGCCTGCAACATGATTAGTAACCCAGATACTATGAGTACCTCAGGAAAGCAGATTACTTCACTGTACCCAGGGCTAAAGACTGACGGCGCCATTCTTGGAAGACTTTGCAATTGTGCCGTCTCTGGATCCGGCTCTGTCTGTCCTTGCTCATGACTGTTGCCAATCAACAGGTAGCTCAATCCGGCACGAAGTAGGTGATGTAACGCTTGGTGGTTGGCGTTGCAGCTTCCAGCTGCTGGTTCTGTGGGAGGGCTTGAGAGCATGGTGCTATCCGGGCTATTATCCATATCTGCAAGCTCTTCTGTGAAATCTCTGGTATCAGAGAATTCGGGAATGTCCCTTTTGTCGAGCTCTGAAGACTGCAAGGTAGTAGATTCTAGCATCAGTTCTTCAAACTCAGGACCCGGTGCTTTCCATGCCATTTCTCCGAGACTCACCATGATCAGCGCGGGAGGATGTGGCTGCACTTCGGGATCTGTGGGCATGAAAGCTAGACTTATGTTGACTGTAGATATACTAAAAGTCTCGATGTATGGCGGAGGGATGGGCTTCCCTGATGCCTGCACAGCCTTTGGAACTCTGCGGCTCACTGTTGGCAAGACAGCAGGTTGTATGAGCGATCTTCCAATTCCGAAGGCTAATTGAAAGCTCGGAGGGGTTTTGTGATCGAAATATTCGCAGCTTTTGTACATGATAGCCAAGCCTAACTCTTTCCAGAGCTGAGAGCCAGAATTGTGTTAGCAACATTTTTAGACTCATCTTGTGAGGAGTATGTTACTGTGATTACCTTTGCATTGCAGAGCATCTCCCCCACAACTGGCACAAAAGTGGAGACGGTGACATTGGATACGTTATGAGCATTGATGGATATGTTCAGTTTGATCTCTGGTGCTTCAGCCACCCAAGCCCTTCTCATGGTCATTAGATGTATGAGATGCATGTCGCGTGCGGCAATTTGGGGTCTTCTGCGGGATTGTATGAATATGGAGGCATTCATTGTGAGAGTCAAAGTTGAGTCTGAGGAATGGAAATCGGCTCTGCCTAGGTCTATTGTTGCTTCCATTTTGGATCGTCTGACATGAACTGAATTAGTGGGGAAAAGTGCCTATATTCAAGCAGATACATGGTCGATGGTTTGACGAGGATAGATGCCCGGTGCTAAATGAAGCAAACACTGGCAAAATATGTGAGTGCCTCAACACAGCAACACCCGACTGTCAAGAAGTGCATATCTATTGCTTGTATCTGAAGCTATTAGCCCACACGCTCTGTATTCTACTTTGCGCCCTCGTCCAGAATCGACATTGAAAGATAATTGATAGCTTTATTCCAGTGCTTCGTCTTACATCATAGACTTGGCTGCCGAGGCACCAATACGATAAGTGAATCGAGACTATACAACTAGAGGGAGGTAAGAACTCCTTTTGTGCCACGTGAGCACCGTTCAAGCGAGTATTTCCAAGTTTCAAAACTCCAGTCGTCAAATATTACTGCGCAAGATTGACCGAAGTTGGGCAATAATACTTGTACACAACTGACAGTCCCTCAATGCCCAGCTACGTTGCTTGTTGACATTTATTTTCGAGCTGCTTATCGATAAGAGTATCACGTGCCTGGGGGGTTTGATTATCTGGCCCCTAGACATCCTCCGCATCGAGGAATCTCGAATTCAGGAGTCCAACAATCAGCGATGCCCAGGGATGAAGGTGAAGATCATTTCCTGGCGGACAAAGATAGCCCCAATGGGCTGGATTCCCAGCCCCTTCTGTCACCCGTCGAGGACCACGAAACTACAAACCATGCGAATCCCGCCAGCGCGACCCGCAGCAGCAGCGGACAGCAGCCGCATCACTCCTCTATATCTCAGCCGGTCCCAGAAGGACAACGACGCACCCCTCGTACCATGAACCGCGTTCGCTTCGACCTGGAGGAAGAAACGGACGAAGAGCGTCGCTCGGAACATCACCCTCGCGATTCAGACGATATCTCATGGCTCGAGGAAGAAGACTATGGCCACGGCGACGGCCGGCGGCGCCAGATGGTCCCTTTGTTGACGGATATCGAAGCCCCCAGTGTCACGCTCGCAACGTCCGATGAATTCTTCCCGGAAGAACACCTGGAAAGTGCTCGTCCAAGGAGCGGGATGCGCATGGCTTTCATGAATATGGCCAACAGCATCATTGGGGCAGGCATAATTGGACAACCTTACGCACTTCGCCAGGCAGGATTGGTGATGGGGTTGGTGCTGCTCGTCGGACTCACAATCGCAGTAGACTGGACCATTCGACTTATAGTGGTCAACTCAAAGTTGAGCGGGGCAGATTCGTTCCAGGCGACCATGCAGCATTGCTTTGGCAGAAGCGGACTTATCGCAATCTCAGTTGCGCAGTGGGCTTTCGCTTTTGGTGGTATGATCGCGTTCTGCATCATTGTTGGGGATACAATACCGCATGTCCTGGGAGCCTTGTTTCCTTCGCTACGAGATATGTCATTCTTGTGGCTCTTGACCGACAGACGGGCCATCATCGTGCTCCTGGTCCTAGGAATCTCATATCCGCTGTCTTTGTACCGGGACATTGCTAAGGTTCGACATGTAATGCTTTTGCAGCACTCTGAGACTCACAAGTTCATAGTTAGCAAAAGCGTCCGCACTGGCCTTGGTCAGCATGGTCGTCATCGTGGTTGCTGTGATCACCCAGGGCTTTAGAGTGCCCTCCGAGTCGCGCGGCGATGTAAAAAGTCTACTGTTTGTCAATTCAGGCTTTTTCCAGGCTGTTGGGGTGATATCATTCGGTACGATCGCGTTCCAGATCCAGATCATATAACTGTACTAACAGTCCACAGCATTTGTCTGCCGTAGGTTATGTCATTCAGGCCACATTACACTGGGACTAATAGCTTGGAAGACCATAACAGCCTCCTTATCTATGGCTCATTAAAAAAGCCGACACTAGACCGCTTCGCGAAAGTGACACATTACTCTACAGCAGTCTCCCTTCTGACCTGCCTCGCCATGGGTGTTTCCGGGTTTCTATTCTTTGGCTCGCAGACCCAAGGCAATGTACTCAACAATTTCCCATCAGACAACATTCTGATCAATATAGCACGACTGTAAAGTCTTCTCGCCTTAATGTACTGAGACATCGCTGGGCTGACTTTTGCTAGATGCTTCGGCTTGAACATGCTCACAACTCTTCCGCTGGAGGCATTCGTATGTCGATCAGTCATGACAACCTATTACTTCCCCGACGAACCTTTCAACATGAATCGGCACTTGATCTTTACCTCTGCGCTTGTTGTTACTGCGGTTGCTATGGCTCTGATCACTTGTGACTTGGGGGCAGTCTTTGAGTTGATCGGCGCCACGAGCGCAGCGGCCCTGGCCTATATTTTCCCTCCCTTATGCTACATAAAGCTTAGCAATGCCTCTCAGAAGGCTAAGATACCAGCCTATCTATGCATCGTTTTCGGGGTAGTCGTGATGGCAGTCAGTCTGCTTCAAGCTGTTGCGAAAATGATAAGTAGTACGTTCACTGCTCACCCGACTAACAGCATGCATCCTGCTAATTAACTCAACCACATTTATAGATGAAGGTGGTGCAAGTACCTGTGCTGCCTAGGCAAGGTACTGTAAGAGCAATTAGATCTTGCAACCTTGCTTCTGCTTTACTGGTGTCGTATAACTGATAGACTTTATTCAATCCCTCATTCACAAATTATGTACATAGAGAAGTGTATTAACAAGGTGAATCATGCTGTTCAGGGGCTCTGAAAAGGAGCTCCATGGACTCAAGTGAAGCAAACTCTCCTCTGGGAGCAACACAGATACCTAGATTTTGTGTAGGGACAATATGGTCTTTCAGTATACTATCATCCTTCAGATACTGATTTTCTCCTAGAAGCAGTCTTTGATTCATGATCAATATCAGTGGAGGCAATGAGAGGGACAGATGAGGCAGCGCACTACAAGGTCTAGGTTTTGGTGTCAATGTCATTTGCTAGGTTGTATCTGCGATGTTGTGCGCGTTTGCATGGTAACGCAGTTAACAGTTTCCACTCCCTGTTCCTGCTCCCTGCCTCCTGACCCCACCACTGTCCTCTTCATCATCTGTTTTTGCATGTGTTCCAATTTTACCCTTCTCGTTACTTCATCATTCATTCTACTTTCAAAAAGAGGGACTGGCTCTGTTTCCCGGACCCGGTAGAGTTGAATGTATGAAGTGCAGGTCTCATGCTCTTCCTTTGCACCTCTTCATTTCTACTTCGTCAACTACTGCTGCACATTGGCTTAGCTGGTTCTAGTGTGTTTTAAACACCTGAAATCGTCCTCAAATCTATCCTTTTGTCAACTGTCGCTACCTTGCTTCTCTTTTCCTGACACCCAGCATTCTCACATTATCTCTTCGTCTCTCTCTGAAGCCAATCCTGGGGATCATAGCCATCTGGAAATCATGGATCAGAATGCAGCTGAACGCCTGAAGAGGCTCCAAATGGTAGGTCGTGTGTTTCCAACGACCTGTTCCTCCGTCTTTCGTTCGATCGCCCGCAGCTACTAACATAACTCGCCTCCACTCAGGACGACCTCGGCACGGCCAGACGAGAATTCATTTCAACCAAAGATGGCCCACGACGAGTGCTGAATGTGGGGTTGAACACCATAGAAGCAAGCAGAGAGTCCAACCAACCTGGAACGAAAGCCCAGCTCATGGCGCAGAAGAACAAGGCCCAACTCGCGGATTGGTCGAGTAAGTGCATCCTCCAGTGCTCCTCGCCCGACCTGCTTTCTATTGGGTTTCTGGTTCTTCGCTAATTCAAATTCAAAGATATCCACAAGACAATAGGTGATACTGGAGACCTTGAGAATCTCGATAGTCTTCTTGATGGCCAGACTCATCGTCTTGGGCTCGCTGCTTTGTTACATTCGAAGCCACATGACTTTGCTCCAATCAGGGGAGGTATGAATCGTGGGCGTGGTGGAGGCGTAGCAGGGACTCGAGGTCGTCAGGGGAAGCCAAGTGTATCGAAGTAAGTCAACTCACCAAAAGCCATATTACCATCAAAAACTAACGCACGAGACATTGATGATAGGGTTCTCGGTCAAGGAGGTGTCTCGAAATCTGGCAATCATGCTTTCAAAGTAGATCAGAAGCAGACTCGTGAGGTCTACTCGTATCCAAACCCGTCTTCATTGCTTATTTGCTTTCTCTAGGTGCTCGAAAGCCGATCCCTAACCCACTAACCAAAGTTCGAAGACCCATGTAAGCTACCTTTTTGTTGCCTCAAAAACCATCTGACTCCTGTCTCCAGGGTTGACTATTCCTCGAAAATCAGTCCCCCTGAAGATTTTATGGCTGCTGTTCAGGGTCTAGTCAACGTGAAGACTGCTTGCATAAACTCCACTGTTGCACTAGAAATGTCTAACGGTAATAGTTCGAGACCAAGCCAATCGCCTCCTGCAAAGGAAATACCAGGTCAAGTCCCATCTCGCTCCACGCAACCTGCTCTTGCAGTAGATCATGGCCCAAGCCAAAGGCCTCCCACCGTGACTAGAGCCCTGGGTCAAAGACCTCTCGAAAAGTCGCTTCCTCCTCAAGCCCAAGCGCCTCGAGCTCTTGCTCAAAAGCCTCCGTCTGCGACATACAACGAGTCGAGTCAACCTCTTCTCAGAAAGCCATCACTTTCGGAATCCGACATATCGAGAGATTCAAGCAAAAGGACACCTTCTTCCACGATCACCACAAATCAGAGCAATCCTCAGAAACTGGTTCCAGCTTCTGACGCCATGAAGAATACAAGACAGACACAGTCGACTGCGACGCTGAAGGCGAACCAGACACCACCCAAGGATACTGTGCATCCTGTCACAGTGACAATGAAAACTGCTCCCGTTGCTTCCAATCTGAGCAAGGAGCACGCACTGAGGTCCAACAACACTTCTGTGCAATCACAGGCTGCTGCACAAACACGCCCGACTCTGAACTCGCAGTTGTCCAAACCCTCAACTGCGCCATTACTGCGGGATGAGGGGCCTCTGTCTAAGAAGCCAGCAACCAAGGCTTATGGCAAGCCTCCATGTCAACCGGTTAACAAAGCCAATCGGGTTCCAGAGAAGCGAGGCACTGCAATGGAG